CCAGCTCCTGATTGGCCTTAGATTCACAGAAGCTTTAAAGGGACTAATCCCGGCCCCTCCTGAGCCTACCCAGTTGTGCCGTCTGAAAGCGGTACGTGGTGGGGAATGTGGAGCCAGAGCCGGGGGCCACCCACCACCTCTGCTCGGTCTGTCCTCCAGGGTGCACCAGTCATGGCCCCGCTGCTACCTGCCGACGTGACGGTGACCCGGCTCTCCCGCTCCATTCACCTGTACTGCAAGCCGGGCCCCCCAGGGTCCCCCGGGCCCCGCCCGCTGCTCCTGCTCCTGCCGTGGCTGGGGGCACAGCCAGCCGCCCAGGCCAAGTACCTGCAGCTCTACCTGGCCTGCGGTTTTGACGTGCTGGCCGTGGAGAGCGCGCTGAGCCACTTCCTGTGCCCGCGCCGGGGCCTGGGGCCAGCCGCCCGCTGGTGGTGCACGCGCTCTCTCTGGGTGGCTACACCTTTGCACAGATGCTCCTGCTCATGGGCCAGGACCGGGGGCGCCACAGCAGTGTGGCCCAGCGCCTGAGGGGTCATATTTTCGACAGCCTGGTGGTGGGCAGCCTGGACCACATGGCACTGGGTGAGTGTGCCGGGGCAAGGGTGAGGGGGCACCGGAGCCACACAAACCAGGCTAGACTCCAGGTGGCCACGCAGTACTGCTGACCAAGGGGTCTGTGATCTGCATCTGTTCCAAAAGTGGCTCTGGGCTGCCTCTGAATGTCCACCTGGCGTGGCCTTCCTGCCTTCCTGTCGTGTTGTCCCCCCCGGGCCTCCCCCACTGCAGCTGAATTTATAACCCAGAGTGAGCGTGTTGTCTGGGACCAGCCTGGCATGCATTCATCTCCAGCCTCTATTCCTCTAGGGACGGGGAGGACAAATAGGCAAAATAAGGCTAATTTACTGAGCGCCTAGAACCTTCCATACAGACTCTCACATAGTCCCCACAGTGAGGCCATGGGGTAGGTGCTGCGTCTTCTGAAATTCTTAGGACACATGCTTGGGAAAGAGTCTCAGAAATAATGTACTGTTCACCTTTGAACACAGGTTTGAACTGCGTCGGTCCACTTAAGCAGGGTTTTTTCCCCAATAAATATGTACTACAGCATTGCACAATCCACGGTTGGTTGAACCCACAGATGCAGAACTGCAGATATGGAGGGCTGACTGTAAAGTTATATGTGATCTCTGATTGCACAGAGGGTCAGTGCCCCTAACCCCCACATTGTTCAAGGGTCAACTGTGATTGGCTACACGATTTTCCTCTAAAGCACTGATTCTCAAACTTGGGTGTGCGTCAGAATCACTTGGTGCTGCGTGCTGATTCAGAGGCCCAGACCTCATCCTACTCCAGTGAACCTGGGCCCCTGTGTTCATTTTTTAGCTCTCTACGTGATTCTGATAGACACTGGAATTTGAGGACCACTGTGATGTAACTTCCTCTATAAGGACCAAACTAATGCTAACATACCTCAAGTAACAGGAAGGTCACTGTTATAAAGTAACCCATTCTAATTGACCAATTAGGTCTAGTTCAGAAGGAAAATTTCCCCTTGATGCAGACCAACTTGACATTTCTCCAAAAACCCTTAGATCTTTTCCATCTCAACTGCTCGACAAGCTGCACCCTGTATGGTTTTTGTAAACCAAGGTGTAAGACAAACCATGAAACATGGCCTCATTTTGGTCCATCTCCTCTCATCTTTTACTATCCCTTGGCATCCTTCTCCCACCCAGATGGGTCACCTGGGACTCCGAGGGTCTCACCAAGGCCGCAGATTCCAGGACTCAAGGCCTCCAGTGACTCTCAACGACCCAGTCATTTTGCAACAATTCCTGGAGCAGTTGTCGAACCAGCTTTGACCCCAACCCAAAGTCCTGCCATCCAGCTCTTTCCTTCTCGTCTTTGAAGATGCCACAAAGTTGGCAAATGTCTCAGTGGGAGGCTAACTCCAGGCCAGGTGGCTCTTTTAGGAAGGGTGTGGGAGAGGGCAGGGACCGGAAGGGGATGCCAAGAGTGGGCTGAGGCAGCCCCTCTCAGGCAGTTGTGGGGATGTTTCCAGCTCTTCACTACCCGCAACGAGGGCCTTCTGCATCCTCTGTGCCTTCCTGCCACCAGAGCACTCCCAGGCCATCTCCCGTGCTTCTGCCCCAAGTGGTGTCTGTACCTGGTAGGACAGCTGGGTGCCCACTGCCCAACTACAACAGAGACAGAGAAGGCAATATGAATGTCCCAGGACCCCCAACTCTAGGGATACTCAGCGGCCCACGTGTCACTGCTATCCCCACCAGGAGGGTGTTGAGACTGGGTGGTGGGTCCTGAGCTGCACCTGACAATGGGAACTAACCCCCTCTGCCTGGTACCCACAGGTGTGTCTCAACTGATAAGACCGCAGGCCCTGGGCCCGGTGGTCAAGGCCACAGCCATGCTCTACTTCCACATGTGCCCGGGCTGCACTGTTCGGCATTATGAGGCTGCAGTGGGCGCTTTCTGGCAGCCGCCTGTGAGGCCCCCGACGCTAGTCTTCTACAGCCACGATGACCCCCTCTGCGATAGTGCCCGCCTGCACGAGCTGCTGGCCAGCTGGCAGCGGCTGGGCATGCCGGTGTGGGCACAGGCCTGGGAGACCTCACGCCATGCAGCCCACCTGCGCCAGCACCCCCTGGAGTACCGCCACACCCTCACCACCTTCCTGCGGAGGCTGGGTCTCGCGGTCCCTCTGGCCCGGCTCTGATGGGGCTCTGGGCTCCAGCTCACCTCCAGGATAGGGGCCAGCTGCCCAGTGGACAAGGGACAGAGACAGGATGGCAGAGGCATTGAAACCTCTTGATTTACTCAGATTATTTAACATACAATGACGCAACTGTGACCCCAAAGTGTGCAAAGTTAAAGCCTTCGACCGCAGCTGAGAGGAGAGGGCAGGAAAGGTACACATAGGGTGGGGGGTGAGTCAGGAATGATGGGCCGCCTCTTCCCCAGGGCTGGGGATGGGGGAGTGGCCTGAGGAGCAGGGCCAGGGGAAGGGGGCAGAGACCTCCCTCTGGCCTAAGTCAGGAGCCCAGAAGTGCCACATGGCTGAGAGGGTAGCAGCCCAGGAAGGGGCCAGGAGAGCACCATTTCCAGGGTGGGGGGTAGGGAAGGAGGTGCCCTACAGGAGAAGCCGGGAGGGGCCACCTGCCCCAGGAGTGGGAGCCGGGCCGGAGCAGGCTGCAGCGAGAAAGACCTGAGGCAGGCGCAGGGCCTGAGAGCCCAGGCTGGCTGGGCTCAGGGGGACTGAAGAAAGGGGAACCTGGTGGGCTCCCAGGGCAGCCCAGCCTGGGAGCAGTCCTGACTGCGGGGGAGGCCCAGGGAGGGGTCGCAGACCCTCAGGGCGCCCCCTCCTCTCTCCCTGGAAAGGAGCTGGGGATCCAGTAGTGCAAATCTGTGGACCATTCAGTTATGGAGGGAGTCTGTGCCCAAGGGGGGACCCTGGGACACGCCCCCTCCACCGCCTTGGCCTCCACCACCATCCTCAGTACAGCCGCTTCTCGTAACTGTGGGGTCAAGGCAAGAGAAGAACCGAGAGTGGGTGTGTGGATGCTGCTCCTTTCCCAGGTCCCCTCTCCCAGGCTGCAGAAGCCCCTGCCTCTCAGCCATGGCGGTGGGAGGGGCAGGCAGCAGGCCCTGTGCCTCTGTCTTCCTCAGGCCAGGCCCAGAGACAGCCGCACTCCCTCTGGCCACATCTGTGGCTGGTACGCTGTCCTCAGTGGCGGGGTGGAGAGACAGCTCAGGAAGGCCCGGCCCATCCTCACAGAGGGAGCTCAGACCAAGCAGAGCCTCTGCTGCCTTGTCTGCACCCCACCCCTGCAGGCACTGGGGCCCAGGCTCCTTGTTGCCCCTGGGTCCAATTCAAGACAGGACAGCCTCAGGCCTGTGGTCAGGGACATCTCTCTGCATCCTAGAAAGGGATGTTTCCTCTAGACGAGAGGCCACTGCCAGCTGCCCCCACCACAATGCTAGTCCTAGGGTCTGTGTCCCGAGATGACACCCCAGTGCCGCCCCCAACCCAATGTCCCCGCCCCCAGCCCAAGTCCCACCCAGACTGCCCCTGCTCTACTCTAAGCTTGGCCCGGGCAGCGCGGTTACTTACACGGCAGAAAGGTATAGCTACGGGAGGATGGGGCAGAAAGAGACACAGGTTAGATGCCCGCCTATGCCTGGGGGGACAGGCCCTCTTGACCAGGGCAGGGCCGCATGCCTGCATCTACTGCTGCCAACTAGCACTGCCCCCACCCACAGTCGCCCCAGCGCCGGCCCTGGCATCTGTCTCTCTGCCCTTCTCCCCGCCAAGGGCTCACGCCCCCAGCCTCCACCTGCCTGCCTGGTGCCACCACCAGCGAGAGCCCAGCACCGCCATCCCCTGCCACCAGCCACCAAGCTTCTGAGCAAGCAAGGGCCGGGAAGCCCAGGAGGGGCTAGTGGCCACATCTCCCGTGCCCTGCTCGGGGGAGATGCCCGAGGGGAGGGGAGGGCCTGCCCGCATGGGGGCTAGAGTACAAAGTTCAAGGGTGGGCTGGGCCCTGTCGAAGAGGGTGATGGGGTCATCCTGCAGCAGCCTCCATCCCTGATGCAGATGGTCCATGGGGTCCCTGAAACCTCTGCTCAGCCTCTGAACCATGGCCCCACCTGCCCGACCCAGTGCCAGCCAGCTGGGCAGGGAGGCCGCCACACTTACGAGTGCAGGCCATGGACACCACCCTCGATCTGAGCTGACATGGTCCGCTTCTCAAATTTGAGCTCTCCTGAGTACATCATAGACCTGCAGACAGGGAGGTGGTGCCGGTCAGGGGCACCAAAGGCAGAGATAAGAGAGAGGAAGCAAGGGGAAGCCAGGAGCCTGCTGGGTGCCCCCAAGTCACGGCACTCACCGCAGGACAGACAGGCTACGGGCACCTATATCCTGGCAGCCGTGCTGGATCCCCGCTATGAGGTAGGGCACGAACTTCTGAATGGAGCCTTTGTCCTGGATGGAGCCTGACACGCCCTGTGCGATCTTCACCTTATCTCCCTCGCTGCATGGAAGGCAGGAAGACTGAGCCTGGCTGCCCATGGCTTAGGGGACCCCATCCCACCTCTGAAGGGCACCAGCAGAGGGGATACCACCCAGAAGGACCCCCAGAGCAGCCATCCCTGGGCTATAGCATAAATAAATATGGACTCCAGCCACTGTCCCAGGTCTGCTACTTGTGCCCTGTGCCTTGGTTTCCAGAACTGTAATATGGAGACTGGGCGCCACCTTGGGAAGCCAAAGGCTCGTGTGGACCTGAGGGGTTGGGGCTAGTCTGCCTGGGGCCAGGGGGCGGGGCACCTGAAGTAGCGCTTCTGGCTGCTGCTGCTCTTTTCCATGGCGTCCAGTGAGCCCATGCCCCGGTACTTCTTGAGCCTCACACCATCTGAGAAGAAGTACTCGCCGGGGGCCTCCGTGGTGGCGGCGAGCAGGGAGCCCATCATCACTGCGGCAGTCAGGGGGTCAGTGCCTCTAGCCCCGTAGTCCTCCCACTGCCCTCGCCCACTCCCCACTCCCTACTGGACTGCCCAGTCCCCAGCAGACGCTCCCCCCTCACCTGTGGAGGCTCCGAGAGCCAGGGCCTTGACCACGTGCCCCACGGTCTGGATGCCACCATCGGCTATGACTGGCACCCCGAAGCGCCGGGCATACTCAGCCACCTTGTACACGGCAGTGCCCTGGGGCCGCCCACAGGCCATCACTGGGGAGAGCACCGAGACAGAGGTGTCAACAGCAATGGGAGCCAGGTACAGGCCCCTTTTTCCTTGTGCCCTTCCTCCACTTGGGAAAAGGGGAACGGCTGGATTGTAATGCAGGAAAAAAAAATAGGTGGCAGCAAATAACATTGGGTGCGTGTCACTCAAGGGATCTGGACCACCTCTCTTACAAGAGCACTATGGGAGACTCCTATGGCCTTCAGGGTACAGTACGCTCAGCCTCGCCTTCTCCAGGCACTAGCTCCCCTTCAAAACCTGTTACTAGGGTTAGGTACTTACAGCTTCCTTCGGGATATTGGCTTGCATTTCTTTACGTCTAACTGTCCAAGGTCCTTAAGTATTAGGCTTTTAAGTGAGAATTCTAAGGAACCAGCACTTATCTAGGGATGGATGCAAGGCTGGCTAAATTAGAAAAGAAGCCCCCTCCGGGGGTACCTTTTGTTTGTTTTGTTCTTACTGCACCCCCAAGGTTTACAACGATGCCTGGCACGTAGTAGGTGCTCATTTGTTAAGTGAGCAGAAGACCCACGGTTCCCCACAGGGGGCAGCCGAGGAGGGAGACAGTTAAAGGGAGAGGCTTGAAGACCAAACTGGAGAGATGTTTTGAGCAGAGAAGACCAAATGGGTCATTCAGCATTTGAGAGAAATGACCCTCACTAGGGGGGCCAGAGACACCAGACTTGGGGCCCAAGAGTGGGCCTCCTTGGCCAGAATCTGAGAAACAGACTGGCTCACAACCAAAACTCACAGTAACCTCATCTTACAGCTGCCTCCCCTGAAGTCAGTGGACCAGACAGTCTGAGTCCAGGTCACGCCTGAACCCACCATCCCAGGAAGAGGCCTGGCTGAACGAGAACTCAGTATGCATCTGGGGAACAAGGTGAGGCCCTGGGGCCTGTGGAGGGCCAATGGGGCTGTTCCAAGTGGCAGCCGCTCACTCTCCTACCAACACCCACCTTCCTGGGTGATGCAGATGGAACCACAGCCCATGCCCACACGCAGCCCGTCCACACCAGCATCAATCAAGTTCTTGGCCTGAGCTGCTGTCACCACTGGGGGAAGGAGGGAGAGGAGGGGAGGAACAGTGTGAGAGTGGGATGGCTCTGCCCTGCCCAGGGGCTTCCTGGGACCCCAGTCTAGACCTACCCCCCTTACAGTGATCAAAACCCATGCATTCAGCCCCAAACCAGGAGCAATGCCATCACCAAGGAATGCCAAAGGCCAGAGAGAGAAAGGTTCCACAGTGAGGGGACGAGGGCTGGGAGGGTAAGAGGGGACCCCACACTCACCATTGCCCCCAATCACCTGGAGGTGGGGGTACTTCTGCTTGATGTAGTGCACCATGGCAATCTGATACACGGAGTTCCCTTGGGATGAGTCCTGTGAGAAGGCAGACAGGAAAGCTTTGACCTGGAGGCCGAGCATCTTCACTGAGGGAGGGAGTCTTGAGTGGACAAATCCTGACATTGTATGAAAGACGTATGAGAATGCACTTTTTGTCTTTTTCTGGGAGGACACTTGACAGTTCTCAGTGGATTCTCAAAAGGGCCAGCTTCCCCCTAAAGGTTAAGCACCACTAATGCATAGTCTGGGAGCAGCCAAAGCCCTTTCATACCCGTGGTATGGACTGGTCCTCACAGCAAAGAGATGGTGCCTGGAGTGGTATCCATCCAGTTCCCACCAGCTCACTAACGAAACGGAATTACTCAACCTCTTGAGCCTCAGTTTCCCAGACAATTCCTTGGCATGGTGATTGTACCTCAGCGGCATTGTGCAGACTGAGTTCATTTACATAAACGTCCAGGTGCGGGGCCTGCAAATGGGAGGTTCTCACTGAACAGGAGCTCTAACTATTATGGTCACCTTACGAGTGTGGAGGGCCCCCAGAGGGGTCAACAGTTTGTTCTGACCTCTCAGAGTACCAGTGACTCTCCTAATTCTGACTCTAGGCTTAATTAGAGGTGAACCTGGGTCTTCATGAACCTCAACTCTACTGAACCACCCCCGCTCCAAGGCTGTGCCCGCACCAGCACTATGACGTCGGCGCCCGCCTGCGTGAGCAGGTCCAGGCGGTACTTGTCATCCTCGCGGGTCCCCACAGCTGCCCCACACAGCAGCTGCTTGTGGGAATCCTTGGAGGCCAGAGGGTAATCCCGGTTCTTCTTCAGGTCGGTGCGGGCAATGATGGCCACTAGCTCGTCTTGGTCATTGACAATGGGCAGTTTCCCTGAGGAGGAATGCAGGGGTGAGATGAAGGAGCAGGCTTCTAGGAGTGGGGTGGGGGCAGTGAGGATGAAAATGGACCAGGCTGGAGATTCCACTGAAGTACCCAAACCAACCACTAGGTGACAGCACCCACCCAGAAAGTGCTCGGAGGGACCTGGCCCTCTGCCCAAGGAACAGGAAGCAAAGAAACCTCGCAACCAAGCGAGCTCCTGGAGCTCTTCCTGCCCTGTGGCCTGGCAGGGCTGGGTGGGCAGCTCCTGAGTACTGGCAGCTTTTCACCTGCTGGGCCACAGGCCACAGTGGTCGAAAACTCCCAGACAGGGCACAAACATGAGGCTGTCCTGCAGGGAGGAACGTGTGTCCTGCCCAACACCACCACCCCTGAGAACAATCCAGTATGGTCCAGGGGAGCATTTCCCAGTGGCCCCCACAGGGACCTAATGAATGTTATGTCAACAACTTCCATGTCAAATAAATTTAACCGTGGGACTTCTCAGAGCCTTTGATAAACTAACGTACAATTCTTCATAAAGATGAAGAAGACAGAAGGCAGCATTTTTCAGACTTATAAGACCACAGGGCCCTTTTCTCGTGATGAGCATTTCACAGGACTAGTTGTTCTGGGAAACATACTTTGAAAATGCCTAGTAAGGGGAATGGGTTTTCCTAAGCCAGGAAGAGGACCACGGGAATCATGCTCCAGCCTGGGGGTTACTCAAACCCTCCCCAAGGCCCAGTCTGGTTGCAGGGAAAACCTGCAGGGCTGTGAAGGAAGCAGGGGTTCTGGGGTGCGGGGGACCAGGCTGAGGGCGCCCGCATTTTCTGCCTACTCCTGGGTACCTTTCTTGCTGCGCTGCAGGATCTCATTTGCCTCTTTCAAAGTCACACCCGCTGGAGCCACCACCAGCTCATTCCGTGATGTCATCACCTGTGGGGCCAGGAACATTTGCCTGCAGGTTGGCAGGTGAGAGAGAAGGGAGCCAGGCCTCCCTCTGGTCCTTGGTAACAGGCACCAGCCTGAGGCCCCAGGATGTGGGGTCCTCTCTTCCCCAGCCACGCTTCCCTGCCCCGCAGGTACCTCACTGAGGAGGGTGGTGTGGTCCTTCTCGGCGAGGAAGTCGATATCTCGGGAGGTGACGATGCCCACCAGCTTGCTGCCCATGGTGCCCGTCTCAGTGATGGGGATGCCGGAAAAGCCATGCCGGATCTTGGCCTCCAGCACATCACCCACAGTGTGTGAGGGGCTCAGCACCACGGGGTCTGTGATGAAGCCCTGTTCAAATTTCTGTGGGCAGACGGGGGAAGGAAAAGGCTGGAAGAAAGCTGGGGGTGGTGTACAGCCTGGCCACAGAAGGTAGCAAGTGGCCTGGCTGTGCACAGGGGAGCCAGGGTCCTCCATGGGGTAAGAGGTCAGTGGAAAAATGAGGGCTGAGCCCTGTGCCCCAGCTGTGGAGAAGGGCAGACAAGACCCCACAGTAATCAGCCAGGGAGCACACCAGCCCACAGGGCTGGCAATGGGAGGTGGGGGTCACCAAGGGGCATCTTCCTTCTGGGGATGGTCCGGTACTTGCCTTGACCTTCCGCACCTCGTTGGCCTGGAACTCTGGGGTGCAGTTGTGGTGAATGAAACCGATACCGCCCATCAGCTGGCGTGGAACGGAAGTACAGTCAGAGCCAGAGGGCCAACCCTCCTAGCTCTGAAACCCCACCTGATTCCAATTTCTCCTAAAGCCCAGCCCACCCCGCTCAGTCCTCCTGGGGTCCCAACTCAGTGGCCTGACTCACAGCCATTGCGATGGCCATGTCAGCCTCTGTCACAGTGTCCATGGGGGAGGAGATTAGTGGCGTCTTCAGTGTGATCTTCCGAGTCAGAGCTGAAGTCAGGTCCTGAGGACGGAAGCAGTCTATGTGAAAAGTTTTATCAGTCATTCAACAAACATTTACTGAGCTCCCACAGGTACCTGGCACTAGGGCAGGCCATGGGGATATAGCAGTGAATAGGGCAGATGAAGGCTCTGCTATCTCCTCCAGAGCTTATATTCTGCTTGGAAAGAAAAATGACACACACAAAACATGTACAAAATGATTCCAACTGCAATGAAGTCTCCAAAGAAAAGCAGTAAGGCAAAGTGACCACCAGAGGAAGGATGCGGTAGCTGGGGAAACCTCTTTCTTGGGAAGTGACAAATGGAAGCCAATCCCAGGCCTAGGGAGCTGTGGAACCCCATGATTCCAATTCTTTCTGAGGTGCATGTATGAAAGACAAAGGTGAGCACAGTAGAAGGAAGAGTGAGAAGCAGGCGGGGGCAAGGATGTGTAGCCTTGAAAGCCACAGAGAGGAGCTTGGATTCAATTCTGAGATGAGAAGCCACTGGAGGGTCTTGGGCAGAGGAGAGACACAATCTGATTTATGTTTTAAAGAGGTCGCTCAGGCTCCGATGTGAAGGGATTCTAGGTGATAAGGCCTGAGGCAGGGAGACCCGCAAGGAGGCTATTGACAGGTCCAGGTGGGAGATGCTGGTCACTGGGAAGGTGGAGGCGTGGGGAGAAGTCTATCAGACAGACATCCAGGGAAGCAGGTGATGACAGGTCTGCAGCTCAAGGGAGAGGTCAGGACTGCAAACATACATTTGGGAGGCATCTGCCTCTGAACAGTGGTGAGGCCAGATCACAGACTCCTCTGAGATTCAGGCCAATAGCAGTCGATCCTAGCGCCCAGAACACTCAGACACAGACTTTGATATACAATTTTTGGAGGACTCACAGGTCCCTGAAATCCATCCACAGACCCTAGTTCAGAACTCTGGCCCCACAGCCTAGAAAACTCCCCCTTCTCTTCTCTCATCGTAGCACAGAAAAGCCATGGCCTTCCTGACAGAGGCCACAGGATGGGGAGACCCTTGACAGCCAAGGGGGCTTCTTCCATCCCTTTCTTTCTAGCCCCCTGCCAGGATCTGGCACAAAGCCAGGGTACTCAGTAAACTTTGTTAAATTGAACAGCTGAACCACGAAAACTTCCTGGTTGCTGTCACAAGGGAAATAACCAGAACAGTTCAAATTCCCCCCTAAAAATCTATCTGAGTCAGCACTGGCTACACAGGCTGGACGTGAGCTTCCCCGACTTATTAAGTGCTCCAGTCATACTCAGACCCTCTGGCCCTTCATGAAAGTCAGATCAGAATAAATATCAATGATAACAGCAATAGAAAAAAATTTTTAATGCATATGAATTCATCATAAAATAATCTAACCTCTCCATGAAATGACTTACACTCATCAGCATTAGCCCCTTGGCTCCTATGAGTTTGTCCTACGTTAACTGGGTAAAGGACACTGGTCATTCACTTGGTTTATTGCTGAACCCTACGGTAAAGCAAAGCATGGTGTTTCCTTGTATTTGCCCAAAATCTAACTTCTTCAAATCCTCCTGCAAGTTCTTGTATATCATGGATCCACAAACAAGTCTGTCCACCTCTTTCAATGTCTCCGTAATTTTACTGGCTTCTATGATGCCTTTGCTTAGCATTTCAGGCAAGATCTAATAAGTAAGAAGCCACACCCATGCCCTCCCTGGCTCTGTCAGTGACAGAGAGCCCTCTGGCCCTGTGCTAGGCCCACCTCTCAAGATACCCCCTCAATCCCCACAGCTGCCTCTAACCCATTAGGTATAACCCATTGCACTGTGCCAGTTTCTCTGGGAACTCACCATATTCCCAAGGAAAGCCTCTCCCACACTCTGCCCTTGAGCGAGAGGTCAGCCTCTTCCACCACAGACACAACCTCTCTACCCAGTAAGTGGAAGAGGTACTCACCACCTCATCAGCTGTGAAGTCTATGAATCCTGGGAGAATCAGAAAGTCGCTGTGAAGAGAGAAAGGTGGGTGTTACTGGGTGAGGAGAGGTACTTGCAAGGGGCAGGGCCTGCCACGCCAGGGGAAGCAGCTCGGGGGCAGGGAGAGGAGCAGAGCCCTCTGATCCCTGTTGCCCCATCAGGACTGAAACACCCTTGTACTCCCCACTAGCATCTTGAAGACTTTAGCCCAGAGAGCTAGAGCCAAAGGTGGTGTAAACTCTGTGGACCTGACGCGCCACCGAGGCAGTTGGCCCCAAATTCCCATTGCCTTCAGGGCTCAGAGTTTGTTAAGAGACACAGAAGTTCCCTAAACGCCACACACAGCAGATACAGTGCCTGCCCTTGAAAAGTTCTCCATCTTGATAGGGGGAAATAATAATTAGACATGGAATGGATCTCAGAATGGTTTAGTAGCGCAGCATGGCATGAACACCACACAGCACAGGACAAGCTGCACAGCCCAGTGCTGGGGCTGCTGAGTCACATAGGGTTCAAAACAGCACAGAGAGACCCCAGGGGGATGAATGCAGGGCATGTTCCAACAGAGCAGGCATTGGCAAATGTTTGCCCAGTTGGCCTGGAGCAATAGACATGGCCTGGGATGGGAAAGGGGAGGAAGGGGCTTTGTGGTTAGGACCAGAACACTGGGAACCCAGCCAAAGCATGGCAGTGGCCAACACTAGGGTGGGCCACAGTCACAGCAAACCCTGAAGTGGGGTGCAGGCTGCATGGGTACGGCAAGGCACAGTGCCACAGCCCAGGAGCCCCGACGGGTGCAACTGGCCTGAAATCACAGGTCCTTGGCAGACACACCCAAAAGCAAATGCCCCAGTGTTCAGGGACACTCCCGAACAGACTAAGCAAAGCAGCAGTCACCCCAGCACAGGAAGGAAAAACTAGAGGGTGGGTGGGAGGGGTGAGGTCTTTAATTTTCCCCAAGACCTAGAGCAATTTCCCTAGAGGGTTATCCTGGGAGACTCCACTGAAAAATATATCACAGAGATACTCTATCCCCTCTAATTAAAGACTACCTGAAGAAATAAGGAATCTTAACTGCCCCTGCCCCTTGGCAGCCCTTCTGTACAGTGAAGAGGCCTCTGTGGTGCACTTAAAGGCTGGAGAAGAGAAACGCTGGAGTCTGGGCCCCTTGGCATTTTCTAGATATCACAGAAACCCCGCACCTGGCCCGCACCCCAGCTACGAACAGGCAAGAGCAGACACTCCTCAGAAGTGACTGGGTATCCTGACGTCTAGGGAAACAGCCTGCCAAGCAGGCAGGGGCAGGAACTAGCAGGAGACAGGGCAGGGATGCTCTTGGCTCACCAGCATCCCCACTCCACCCTAGTCCCTGGTCCTGATGCTCTCTCCTGGCATGGACACAGTCCTGCAGCCAGGAGGAGAGCTAGTGCCAGGCCTGCAGCCAGCAGGACAACTGGCCCAGGGCCCATGGAAAAGCAGACTAAGCCAGAGGCAAATGGATAGGTCTTCTCCTTCAAAATCCCATGTGGGGTGGGCTGGGGGATGGGTAGTCACAGAATACTCACACCCAGGGAGGTGCACGTACTAACTTGTGGGCAGGCAGGGGCACAAGTGGAAGAGAGCTGGACTGAACAGTGGAAAAAGGAGCCATACCAGCTGCCCGGTTGGGCCTTTCCTGGGGGCAACACCCAAGCAGCTGCCTTAACTGGGCTCCAGGGCCCTCTCTGCCCTCGTGGTGACGCTGGGAGTGAGAGGGTGTCCTGGACCACGGTCTGGGGAAAGTCCCCTTAACTCCCACATCTCGCGTTCTCGCACGCCCCAAGGCCCCCAAGATGCCCACGAGAGGGGGGAGAGGGCAGGCCGGACCCTGCTCTGGCAAGAAACGGGGCATGGCACCAAGGGCCGCGATGTCGCTGTGCCACGTCCGTCTGCTCTCCGCGCGGGCCGCCTTCCTTTCCTGGCCCAGCCCTCCCCACCCCCTCCCCTCACCGACCAAGTCGCTCGAATCAGGCCGGGGAACGCTGCCGTCTCCAAGTGGGGAGCGGTGCACGTGCAGGGCCGGGACCAGGGGATCGCGGTGCGTCCGTGCGCGCACCCAGGTGGGGCCCGGGTACCCCGCGCTTACTTATAGGTGAGGCCGTCGGCGTTGGCGAACAGCTGCTGCGCCGTGAGCCCATCCTCGGGCACGTAGCCGGTGCCGCCGCTGATCAGGTAGTCCGCCATGCTGCCGCGAGACCCCCGCGACCCGACATAAACACCCGCGCGGCGAGTGCGTCT